CAGACTAGGTGCGTTGCTCTAAGTCTTCCTACCAATATGACCGAGTTGCGAGAACAAGGTCAAACAACTTCTATACAACGAAAAGAGACTGCGATCACACAAAATACCACACCATCTTGGTCTTCATAACTTCGATAAAAAGTGTTAAATTCACTTAATTTACTCGAAGGTATGAAGATCAAGATGATGTGGTCTTTTGTATGGTCGCAGTCTCGTTCTAGTATAAGAATTTGTTTAACCTTGGTTTCGAAACTTGGTCATAACGGTTTCGACAGAAAGTTGGTCAAGGAATTGACTTCACTTATCTTTTACGAGTTGTAGCATGGTTTTTGAGAATGGCAAAACTCACTAATGATGCCGACTACGATGCCGGCGAAACGTCTGGGAATATACCAAGTCAACGGTCCGAATCTGGAAATGATCATGCATACTATGGACTCCGGACAAGGTTCGTTCCTCTAGGTCTTCCTGCTAACATGACCAAGTTTCGAAACCAAAATCAACCAACTTCTATACACTTAATTTAAACTTATATTACAAATTTTTGGTGTTTTGTTAGCCGAGGATGTAAAAGGTCCAGTTAAATCCGTTTTAGAAAAGCATCCATGATCCTGAAAAGACATCATTAGAAATAGCATAGAGCATGTAGTGACGCACCAACTGGTAGTGTTCAGGATGCCGGCAATCTCCTCAAACTGAAACCGACCGACGTGTCGGCTGACCGCTGCCAGTAAAGGCTGGACTCGGGCACATATTTCTGACCATACACGACCCCGATTAGACTCAAGTTTTCCAGCCACATAACCGTGCCACTGACGCATTACACTGGCTGCCGCCTCCTCCACTGACGCCGATTCTCCTTCATTGGTGTCGGCGTGGATTTCGCATTCCCTCTCCTCATCATTGGAGTCGGTATCGCTGAAAAGGGAGTTACTTTGATGAGCCAAGAGCTGATGCACAGGATTTGACGACTCTTTTTCGCCTGAAATTGCAGTGTCAGTTGAGGGTGCCAGATCTGAGGCCTGCATTTGAGAAGAAGTTAAATATTCATGAACAAAGGATTAAACTAGTTGATAGAACTGACTATAATAAAAGAAAAGTTTTAATGACTTAAGAGGGAGTCCAAAGTTGGTGGCGTAGTTAAAAC